GGGGGGGGGAGGCCATGGGAGCCCAGAGGAGCTAGTGTGAGGCCCCAGGGACCACTCTCTGGGAGAAAGGAAGGCAGAGCTTCCACAGGGATCTCCTACAACCTCCGATCAGCTTCTCCCTGCTAAAACGCTCAAGCGGTGGCCACTGTGCTTGCAATGAAATCCCAGACCCTTGAGACTCGGCCCCCATCGTCTTCCTCGACCTCCCAGCTCTCAGTCACTGTGTGCCCAGCATTCTGGCCCCCTCACCCTTCCTCCTCTGGGCCTTTGCACTCGCCCTTCCCTCCACCTGGAACACCCTTCCTCCGGCTGTTTGCTCCTGTGTGGCTTCTTCTCCTCCTTCAGGTCTCAGCTGTAATGTCCCCTAACTCGGTGAGGCCTGTCCTGCCTGCCCCTGTCACTGAAATCTCTCCTCCCCCCTTGCCACAGTCCATGGTTCTTATTTGTTTGCCTTCTGGTTTCTTTTCTTCTATTTATTAACTTAAAAAAAATTTTTTTTTAAGTTTATTTATTTTGAAAGAGTGAGAGAGAGAGCGTGAGCAGGGGAGGGGCAGAGAGAGAGGGAGAGACTCCAAAGCAGGCTCCGCGCTGTCAGCATGGAGCCCGATGCAAGGCTTGATCCCACGAACTGAGAGATCATGACCTGAGCTGAAATCAAGAGCCTGTCTGTCTTTGACAGCTGTGCCTGTGGTTGGTTGTCAGTAAAATGTTTGTTGAATGACTGAATGTTTGTTGAATGTTTGTTGAATGAGTGAATGAAGGCGAGGAGAGCTGGAGGGGCAGAGTGAACGGAGCCTGCAGGGTATGAGAAAAGAGCTCCCAATGGTAGACGCAGCCCGTGCCAAGTAAGCTGAGGAGGGTGTCACTCTGGGCAGTGGGGAGCCATAGAGGGTTGGAGCATGAGAAGGCCCTAGGGAGGCAGTGGCCAAAAGAGCTGGTCGGGTCTGCGGCCGACAGCCCCTGGAGTCCTGCCTTCCCACTCTTGCCCAGGGCCCACACCCAGCAGCCCTCACCCCTGCTGGCTCCCGTGGCCCGCTGTCTGGGCCTGAGGGCCCGGCCCCAGCTTTGGTGCAGAGGGCGGGACTGTGGTCCCTGGAGGAGAAGCTGAGGGCACGTTCTCAGGTTCCCGGTCATCGGCCTGGGCCCAGCAGCTGTGTCTTGGCCTGGGCCCAGGTCCTGTGTCCCTGGGGACTGAGCTCATTGAGGAGAAACGCAGTCCTGGGCCAAGGCGGCCATCAGGGGCAGGGGAGAGGGCTCGGGCTCACCCCCTATCTCCACCACATTGGGAACTGTGTGGAATCCCACTGCGAGGCTGTGGGAATGGTCGTTCCAGACTCTCCTGTCCCCCAAGGGTCCTGACACCTTGGGCTGGGCCTGCCACTGTGGCTGGAGGGCAGCAGGATCCTGGAGCCAGGACTCCGCATTCTACTTGCTGAGTCATGGGGACTTGACATGGGATTGACACCCAGTAGGGGCTCTGTAAATATGTCTTTCTGTCTTTTGTCTCCACTGCCCCTCATGCTGGCCTCAGCCTGTGTTTTCACTACTTTTGCTCCCTTTCCTTCTCTGTTTGCTATGGACCAGAGGCCACTGGATCAGCAGAGTCACAGACTCTAGGCTTTCTGCCTAGCAAAAGGGGGGGGGGGTGTCCAAGTTCCTTGGTTGCTCCTTCTGATGGGGAGCTCAGCACCTATTAGGACATCCATTCCAGCAAAAAAGTCCTTTCTCAGATGGGTCAGGGGAGCAGCTAGCCCACCTCATGAAGCCCCTACCTTTGTCCCTGGACCCTCAAACCCTTTTCTGGACCCCCAGACTTCTAGAATGTACTTAAGAGGGTGGTCTGGGCCCCCAGTGGCAGCCCTTCTGGGTTGGCCATCCTAACACCTTCAGCTAATTCCTGAGTCACCAAACCCTTCCATGTCACCCTCTCTGTGCCCAGACCATGCTGTGTGACGCCTGGTTCCTGGGAAGCTCCCAGTCTAGGTGGGGATACAGAGCAGGGCATAGATACCCAACCCCTTGTGTGTGAGGCTGATACAGAGAGCAGGAGGGTGCTGGGATAGCCCAGGGGGGGCTCTGTCTGGGGGGCAGAGAGGGCTTCCTGGAGCTGAAACCTTGAAGAATAAAAGGAGCTCACCAGGCACAGGGATGGGGGGTTGGAAGGCACACCAGAAAGAGAGACCAGCATGGGCAAAGGGTAGCATTGTGGGAAATAGCAGAGCATTCCCTATAACTGGAAGAAAATACATTTAAAATTTTTTTCTTAATGTTCATTTATTTTTGAAAGAGAGAGAGAGCATATGTGTGGGAGGGACAGAGAGAGAGGGAGACAGAGGATCTTAAGGGGGCTCTGTGCTGACAGCAGAGAGCCCGACGCGAGGCTTGAACCCACAAATTGTGAGATCATGAGAGAGATCTCACGTGAGAGAGAGAGAGAGACAGAGCATGAGCATGAGCAAGGGAGGAACAGAGAGAGGGAGACAGAATCTGAAGCAGGCTCCAGGCTCCGAGCTGTCAGCACAGAGCCCGACGCGGGGCTTGAACTCAGGAACAGTGAGATCATGACCTGAGCCGAAGTTGGACACTTAACCGACTGAGCCAGCCAGGCGCCTCAAGAAAATACATTTTTGAAGAGAACACTCCCTGTGAGTTCCTGCTTGGGGAGGAAGCAAAAGGGTCCTTGTAACCAGCTGGGTGTCCCAGCAGAGGGAAGAACCTGGGCAAAGGCCATGAGAGCGCAAGGCCTGCTGGGTGAGGAGGGACACTGAATCAGTGTGATGATGAGAGGGGAGGGGCTGCAGAGGGTAAGGCCAGTCTGAGGGCTTTGAAAGCAGGGCCCAGGGGCTTGGATTTCCTCCTGGGGTGATGGGCACAGGGACAGACTTGAGCTGCACCTGCCCTAGGGTCTATTGACTCAGTACACTCACTATGAGTCAGGCTGCGCTCTTTCTTGTGCAACTTTTTGTCCTTTTCTCTGCCCGATCCCCACCCCCACCCCTCATACTCCTTGTGGCCTGGAGTCACTCAGGCCTGGGTTCTCATATCATCTCTGGCCCCCAGGCTGCGGCCATTCACTTGTCACCCTCGGCCCTTCATGCTTCTTCTTTCTCACTGATAGCACTTCTCTGTCTCCTTCCCTCTTCCTCTTCCAGCATTTAAAAATTATTCAAGGTATTAATGGATGAATGGATAAGCAAAATAGGGTATAGCCATTCAATGGAGTCTTAGCCATAAGCAAGTGAGGTACTGGTACATGCTCCATGGTGGCAGATGAACCTCAAAAAACGTTATGAGTGGGCACCCGGGTGGCTCAGTCGGTTAAGCATCCGGCTTCGGGTCAGTTCATGATCTCGCGGTTTGTGAGTTCAAGCCCCGCGTCGGGCTCTGTGCTGACTGCTCAGAGCCTGGAGCCTGTTTCGGATTCTGTGTCTCCCTCTCTCGCTGTCCTTCCCCTGCTCATGCTCATGCTCTGTCTGTCTGTCTGTCTCTCTCAAATATAAAATTAAAAAAAATAAAAAAAACCCACACATTATGCTGAGTGAAAAAAACCAGACACAAAGGGCCCCACACTGTCTGATTCCATGTATATAAAATGTTTAGGCAAATCCGTAGAGGCAGAAAGCCATTTGGTGGCTCCCAGGAGCTGGAGGAGGGGGCTGGGGAGTGGCTGCTCTAGGGGATGGGGTTTCCCTTTGGGGTGATAGAAATGTCTTGGATGGGGCACCTGGGTGGTTCAGTGGGTTGAGCGTCCGACTTCGGCTCAGGTCATGATCTCCTGGTTCGTGGGTTCAAGCCCTGAGTCCAGCTCTGTGCTGACAGCTCGGAGCCTGGAGCCTTCTTCAGATTCTGTCTTTTTCTCTTTCTCTGCACCCCCCCCCCCCCAGCTCACACTCTCTCTCTCAAAAATAAATAAACATTAAAAAAATTTGTAATGGCAATTGGTTAATTTTATGTGAATTTTGTCTCAAGTTTTTCAAAAATCCTCAGAGGAAATCATAAATACGTGCCCAACCCAGCGGGTGAACATTTGATGGGCACCAGGATAGTCACATCGTCTCAAAGTATCTCCCCACGTGCTACTGATATTTATTATGGGAGGAGGGGACGGGAAGAGAATAGTCCCTTGATAGTAGGGAAAGTTGGCCAACTTCACACAAGTGATCGAAGTGTAATACCCCCAGTGTTGGGAACTAATGTCAAGTACCTCCTAATCCGAGGCACTGGGGAGGACCAGCACCATCTCTGTGGTTCTGGACAAAGGCATACTCCCTGGTTGGGAGGACTGAGCAGGCCAGCCTGCTGGAGGACATTCTGAGAAATGAGTGGCCTCAATTCTCCCAAAATGTTAATATCACAAGAGACAGGGAAACGCTGAGGAACCGATCCAGATCAAGCAAATGTGGCAAAGCGTGGAAAGGGTTGGCGAATCCCGACAAAGGGCATGTGGAAATTATGCTATTCTGCATTTGACATTATTTTATTTTATTTTATTTTATTTTATTTTATTTATTTTTTTTTTTGCATTTGACATTATTTTAAAATA